CCCATGAGGCAGGCTAAAACTGAGGCTCTCAGTCTTCCCGCAGCTCATCTCTGGTTCGTTTCGGCATTAAAAGGAGAACTCATCCAATTTCTTTTTCCTTCTCAACTTTTTGAGTGAGTTAATGCCTCCCCCAAGTCACTGAGTAGCACTGACTGGAAAAAAAAAGAACCAAAATAACAGTGGGATGAAATAGGCTGCTTTCCCATGTACATAAAGCTTCTTATTGCAATGAACTCTTATGTCGGCACTGAGAGCATTCATTTTCCCCAGTTCCCTCCAGTCCTGCAGCTCCCAGCTGCCCCTCTGCAGCCCCCACCTCATGAAGGCCAGATTTAGATAGCTTTGCCATCAACCACCCCGGCGGGATATTCATCCATCTTTGACTTGAAAGCAAAAACCTGCCAATCTGCTTCCCGAGAGGAGAGAAACGGGCTAAAAGAACTTCATTTGACTACAGAATGCAGGGGACTTCAATCCCCTCCCTTATTTGCCAGACCCTCTCTGTGGTGCAGTAGCTGCATCTAGGACAGTGTTTATTGATTCCAATTATCCTAATATTACCAAATGCCATCTTCCAAATGAAACCATAAAACTACATGTTGTGTTTCACAGCTTAATAGCTCTATCTTATTTCTGATCTCAAAATGCAAACTTGTTTTGTTTTTTTTCCTCATAAAGGAAATGTACCAACAGCAGAGAAAAAAAAATCATCTTAGTGTGAAAGAAACATGTTCCCTGTGAACAAGAAGAGAATGGTGTTCAATGGAAAAATAGCAACTGATCTTTTTGTTCTTTTGGAAAGGAAGGAGGACATAAGTGAGCTGAGCATTGGGGAGAGCTGACCTTAGGAGTTGGTTGACTCCAGCTCCATGGACCACTTCACCTCTGCCCTGAAAACAGTCCTCTTGGCACTAGGGTAGCCACCAAAGCCAAGCCCTGCAGAGATTTGACATATGTCCACCTTTCAGCTAATTGGAATCCTTTAATTTCACTCCTAACCTGCATGAATCTGGATCCAAGATCTGGCCAGGTTTCTCAGTTCAGTTACCTCTATGTCCTGATGATGCTACTAGCAACTTTTCTTTTGTAGGATGACTAAAATAAAAAAAAGTTTGAAAATGCTTTCCTTGGCCGTAGCATGCTCATACTACAATAAAAGAAGATTTACTTGCAACAGGTGCAACAGTCTAAAAGCCCAGAGTACTGTGTGTAAATGATCCCAAGGGAAATGTTTCATCCATTGAGAATAATGAATGGAAACATTTTGAAAAGATTTCATTGTCTTAACAGTCCCAAAGAAACCATTTTATGTTTCATCCTTTGAGAGTAGCGAATAAAAACATTTTCCTGTCTTCTCAGCCCCAAATAAAATTTTTTCCCACTTTATCCATTAAGAATAATGAATGACAATATTTTGAAAAGATAACACTGTCTTAACAGTCCCAAAGAAAACATCTGTGTAGACCTCAACAATGCAAATATTTGAATTGTATAATTTAGAGTGGGAAAGGGGCTGAGTCCAACTTCCTCCTTTTACAGATGAGAAAGGGGAGGTGTGGAGAGAATAGTTACTATACCCATATAGCATTTAGTGAGTTAGTGACTGAGCTAGGACTAAATCCAAAGTCTACTGGGCTTCCAGTCCACTAATCACCCCTTTGCCAATGCAGAAGCAGCTTCTGTGTTTTAAATGGCAGCCGAATTAGCGTGCATTGTAAATAGATTACAATGTTAACTTTAAAAGTTTCTACCCATCAACCTTGTATGGCTGGGTATTTAAATAAGAGGCTCTAGAAAAGGACAGTGTTACACCTCTCACATCTCTTAACAAAACCTGTGTGTCCTAAGTGGCCATAGTTCTTTAAGAAGCCCCGGCAGTGAAGAGCACTAATCGTTTTCACATCAGTCTCTTCAATATATGCACATCTCAGTAGGTAGATTAATTAATCTGTCTCCCATACCAGGATGAAGGACTAAATACATGTAGGACACACAAACCACATATCTCTCTCATTAGCCAGAAAGCATATACTTCAATCTCTAGGCAGACTTTGAACTTTGGTATAGTAGAAAAGAGCTTGGGAATCAGAGGATTTGGGTTCAAATCCTACCTTTGCTGTATACTGCCTGTGTGACCTTGGGCACATCACTTCATCTCCCTGGGCCCCAGTTTCCTCATCTGTAAAACGAAGGGCTTGGACTAGGAAGCCTTCAGGGTCCTTTCCAGCTCTGGATCTATGATGCTATGAACTTATTGCTGAACAGGCTGAATGTTAAGAGTACCCTCTGGAGAGATAGCCTTGTATAGTGGGAAAAACCCTGGAGTTGAAAGAGAAGTGAGTTCCAAGCTCAGTTTTAGCACTCACTAGGTGTATGACCCCTGGAACCTTAGTTTCCTCATTTGCAAAATTGGGATGATGATGATATCATCTCAGTGGGGGCAGCTAGGTGTCGCAGTGGATAGAATGCCAGGTCTGGAGTCAGGAAGACCTGAATTCAAATCTGGCCTCAGACACATACTAGATGTGTGACCCTGGGCAAGTCACTGAACCCTTTTGCCTCAGTTTTCTCATCTGTAAAATGAGTTGTAGAAAGAAACAACAAACCACTCCAGTATCTCTGCCAAGAAAACCCCGGATGGAGTCATGAAGAGTTGGACACGACTAAAACAACTGAACACCACCACCAAATATCTCAGTTATTGGGAGGATATAGGGTTGGGATTGTCCTTTGTGGCTAACCTCCCCAAAAAGGCCCTCTACAATATGAGCCTCCACTTTTTCTGCTCTCACTCTCTTCTTTACCCATTCCAATCTGACTTGCGACCTCTTCATTCCACTGAAATTGCCCTCTCCAAAGTTACTAATGATGGTCAATTGCCAATTCCAATGGCCTTTTCTCAATCCTCATTCTCCCCTATCTCTGGGAAGTCTTTTACACTGCCAATCACCCTCTTCTCCTTGATACTTTCTCTAAATTTTTGGGACATTGCTCTCTTGTGGTTCTCCTTCCACTACATAACTGTCCCTTCTCACTCTTCTTTGCTATTCCCACTAACTGTGGTGTGCCACAGGGTTCTCTCCTGGGCCCCTTCTCATCCTTTTCCATACTACTTCATTGGGTGATCTCATCAGCTCCCATGGATTTAATTCTTATTTCTATTAAGATGATTCTCTATTTACCTATCCAGCCCTAATCTTTCTGTTGACCTCTAGTCATTTGCCCTTCATACATCTTGATACTGAATGGCTGGTAAAAATCTTAAATTTAACGTGTTCGTAGCTGAACTTATTTTATTTTCCCTGAAGCACTCTCCCTTCCAAGCTTCTCTGTTACTGCAGAGGGCACTACCATCTTCCCAGTTCCTGAAGCTCACAACCTAGGAGCCATCCTGGACTCCTTATTATCTCTCACTCCCAATATCCAGTCTGTTGTCAATGTCACCTTTGCATCATCTGGTGGACCCTCTTCTCACTTCTGATTCTGTCACCCCTATGGTGCAGGTCCTTATCAGCTCTCTGTTCCCCCACTCCAGTCCATCCTCCATCCAGACACAAATGTAATTTTCCACACCAACCCTGTACTTAATAAACTCTAGTGGCTCCCTATTTCCTCCAGCACCAAATACAAAATTCTCTTTTTAGTGTTCAAAGCCCTTCAAACCTACTCCTCCCACCTTCCACTCCCAGTCTTCTTATACCTCACATCCATCCACTCATGGCTCTGGAGGAGAAAGCGAGACTTGTGATTCTGCACAGCCCTCCCTCACTTAAATCCAATTCACTTGAAAGTCATGGCATCATCTTCCTGATGTTGTGGTTGAGAACGAAGGACAAACCACAACATAATCCATTGGCTTCCTTGCTGTTTCCTGAACAAGACACTGTATCTCAGCTCCAGTTACTTGTCTTGCTACCCACTCCCATCCCCCCTCCCCCACAACCTGGAATGTTCTTCCTCCTGGTCTCTGCCTTCTGGCTTCCCTGACCTCCTTTAAGTACCAACTAAAATTCCAGAAGCCTTTCCCACTCTGTCTTTATTCCAGTGCCTTCCCTCTTTTAATTAGTTCTTATTTATTCTGCATATAGCTTATTTGTATATATTTGTTTGCATGTTGTCTCCTCTGTTAGACCGTAAGCTCCTTGAGGGCAGGGACTGTCCTTTGACTCTCTTTGTGTCCTTGGTGCTTAACACAGTGGCTAGCATATGGTAGGTGCTTAATAAATGTCAAAGTGCTCTGCAAGTCTGAAAATGCTACATAAATAACAATTATTGACAAAGAACCTATTGCCAATAATCCTTGGACAACTGACAGCTTATGTACTGATACATGAACATGCCCCTCCCCCCCATATGATAAAACAGAAATAGCTGAGGAATAAGAGAGTCTTATTAGCTGTTACTAACTCGTATACAATAAATAGATAGGTAGATGATAATAATAGCTAATGTGCATACAGGGTGTCCCAAAAGTCTTAGTGTGGCTTTAAGTTTTAATAGTAGTAGGTTTTAACGTTTGCAAAGCACTGTATATGTACTATCTCATTAGATCCTCACAACAACTCTGTGAGAGCAATGCTATTGTTACTATTAGGCCTATTTTATAGATGAGCAAACTGAAAGTTTAAGTGATTTGACTAATGTATTTTTTTTTTATTTTTTTGAAGCTGGGTCTTTTTTGATTCTAAGGCCAGTGTGCTACCTTGCAGCTCTATGCATTCAGAACAAGGGCCAAGCCTAACTCCTCACAATAGAAAGCCAGGCATTGAAAGCCTTGATTTTGAGAACCTGACCATATAGCCCATGGTTAAATCGGAACTCAAGGCATGAGGAGATATGTGCATCTAGATAAATACCAAGACGATGGATGTACTATTTCAGTGAATGACAGCCCACTCCACAAAGGCTGGACTTTCTCCATCTGACAGCTTTCCCCTTTTTCTACAAAAGGTTATTGTTATGATGGTTTAGACAGTCACAGACACAGAGACTGGTTCACAGATTAACTTATTATAAACATTTTAAAGTTATAATGAGTCAAATTAATTACATAGTTCTTGAGTCCTAGGTGATGATAATAGAAGAACCTTTTACCTAATAACAAAACAAAACCTTCAGCCAACCCAAGCCAATGGAGATACCCAGGATTTAATGACTTTTTCCTGGTCAATGACAGACAGTTCTTTGAAGATCCCCAAATGGTCTGGGAAACCATCATTCTCTTCTGATTGATCCACAGGCTTCGGCTTCCACACCCACTGTCATGGGTCTCATGCCAATCACTAATGGAAACTTCAGAAATCTGGAGCTTGAACATGAAAATGCAGGAGTGGGGAAGTCCATGAGCTAGATACCAATCAGAGAGAATAACAGCTCCCAAGTGGTCTCATTCTTCGAATTCATCCTGCATATTTCTATTGGGTTGGGACCAATTTCTTAATTTTATAATAGTACAATTTTGAATAGTGCAAATTGGAATACATATGACCACTTCAAGGGACCCCGTTATTCACACTAATTGGGACCTGGTATTGTCATATTTTAGCAGCAGCTAAAACAGAGGTTGGAGCTTAGATGCCCAAAATCAGGGCTTCTCTCTCTCTCTCTCTCTCTCTTTTTTTCTATGACGGACAGTATATAAAACCCTCAAAGAACAATGAACAATGAAAGCCTAGCCACCCTCCAACTTGCCTTTTCATGTTCTGGACCCAACCAAATAGAGTTCCCCAAAGGCAAGGCATTTTTAAGCCCATAACATTTTGTCAAAGCTGTTAATCCCTCTGGTATTAAGTAACAGTTTGGGACTTGGACAAAATTAGCACTCAAATGTTGTATTAAAAGTACATCCCTTGTGTACATTACATTAGGGTTTGCAAATGCACCTGGTAAATTAAACCCACCCTAGATTGAATTCACACCTGCTATACTGGGTGTTTGCTTTGTGTAATCAGTGGACAAAGGGGCTTCTCCTCCTCCAGAAACCCAATTTAAATATTAATCTAATCTTTAAAGCAGTGGAGCTTCCTTCTGACATTTAAAAACAGTCTACCCATACAAAAAAAAAGCAAATATGGATAAATTAATGGGGGAAAAAAGTCTCTTTAAAAAGTTAAAGCACAGAGAGCCCTCTCAATGATATCCGAGGATTAAGAAAGCTCAGTCTTAATTGCAACAGTAAAGCCCCAGTGTGTGTGTCACTTCCACAGGGACAAAAGATGATGTCCATTCTCCAGACAAAGGTACTACCCCAAGAGAGCAACAGAGTATCTGGTGACTTGGCCAACATTTTCAAAACGGTCCTTGTAAATCTCTCAGAGGATCTGGGAGAGCGGTTATACACCTGATTAGACTGCTAGGTGCATGGATCTCAAGTTAGCAGGACTCTCAAAGGTTACCTAGTGCAATTCTTTTGTTTATAGGTGAGGATTGAGCCCTGGAAAGATGACTGGCCAAATTTACACAGGTGCTAAGTAACAGAGCCACGATTTGAACCTGTGTCCTCAGAATACAGTCTAGTACCTTACCACCCTGCCATGTTATTGTTCTTCTTTAAAAAAAAAAAATCTGTCTTTGGATTTTTTTCTCTGTTTATCTGTTTATGACCTTGAAAGAAAGTGTCATAATTAGCCATTTTTTTGCTCCCAGAGCCAATAGTATTACATTTGTATGATGGGGAGGAGTATTTACCCAAGAACACTGTGATGCCAGTCCTGGGGCAGGGCAGTGCCAGATAAAAGCCCCCCTTAGGATATAGCTGCTGTACACACTAAGCTCAGTCGTTCCTTTGTTGCTGAATGGGCTGCAAGTGTAGTAGTCTGCGTCCCCTAAGTTTCACTCCCCCTGGGGCATAGCCCTACTTGCCCACCAGCATTACAGCTTTGGTACTAAGAATTTCCCCAATCATGTTTCATCAGGCAACTTATTCTTTTTCTGACCCCCCAAGATCCTTGAGTTGCCCCCAGTAGCTGGGATGCATGTACCCAGGCTTCTTCATGATCTGCTGAGTTGATAAGCTCGAGATAACATAAAACTTTCGAAGTGTTGATCTTCAGCTTTTTCTTTCACTCTCTGCTCCTCTAAGGAATCCACTAGTTTGTCCCTCTGTTCAATCACTTTCATCATCTTGGTGAAAATCTCCTGTTCCTCATTTCGAACTTTTTCATCTTTTTCGCTCTCTAAGGAAAAACAGAGGAGAAAACTCACCTGTGTTAAAATCAGTCGGGGTGTTTATTTTATTAGTACTTATATTCTTTGTAGTTGATCCAACATCTCTTTGTCACTCAATAAACAGGAAATGAAATTAACATGCGGAAATATCCCTTACCTTGAGCACTGGGCAGTTCCAATTCCAATAAGAATGGATATAAAACCATGAAGCAATCACTCCATTGACAACTGATGGTATTGTCTCAGTTGTTTTGCCCTGTTCCTAAAATTTCTTTGTGAGTAATACACACACACACACACACACACACACACACACATGATATGCACATTACTAATAAGTATGTTATGTTCTTCATTGTCTCCCCCACCCCAGTAGAATGTAAGCACCCTGAGGGTAAGAACTATCTCCTAGTGACAGTGACTGTCCTCCCTGCTGTTCCTTGAACACATGATGCTGCCCATGCCTGGAATGCTCTTCCTCCTCATCTCTTCCTCCTCAATTCCCTGGCTTCCTTCAAGTCTGAGCTAAAGTCCCATCTTCTTCAAGAAGCCTTTCTGAATCCTCCTTGATCACAGTGCCTTCTCTCTGAGATTGCCTCTAATTCATCCCGTCTTTATCTTGCCTGTACATAGGTGTTTGCATATTGTCTTCTCCATTAGGCTGTGAATGCTTTGAGAGCAGGGATGGGTTTTTGTTTATTTTTGTATGCCCAGGGCTCTTTCCAGTGCCTGGCATATGGTAGGCACTTAATAAATGTTAGTTACCAACTGACTTTTTTATTTGTACCTCTAGTATCTAGTACAAAGTGATGGTTAATAAATGCTCATTGGCTTGAATTTTGTAATTTAAACCCTTAGACCTCCAAATACAGATGAGGCTGTGTGGAAGAGTATGAAAAATGAAAGAGGATGGGATATTTTCCTCAAAGGGAATGGTAAACACCAGGGGCAATACTATCTAGTCACAGTAGACATGCTGCCTTCCCTTTGCAATCAGCTTGTTCTTCTTTTTTTTTTTTAATGCAGCCTAATTAAAAGCTACGCATTTAAGCAGAGACCATATGTGACCAGAGTATGGCTATGAATGCTCAGTAAGGAATTGAAAATAAAGTATGGCTAAGTGATTTTTAGTAGTATGTCTCTCACCAAATTGTATTGTAGCAAATTAAACTCAGTATCCAGGCATATAAATCTGACATTAGTTTGGTGCAATCTGAGGAGTGTTCCGTAAGCCTTCAGTTATGAGGTCTGCCTTGTTTAAATCATCTTTTCTTGTATTCATCCCTCTCCTTGTAACCTGCTTGCTTCTTGCAGATTTCAGTTTTCCTTCTGCTCCTTCATTCCCCTTTCTCTGTCTGTTCCTCACACTGGCCCCTTTTCACTGAGAACTGGTCTGAAGCGCCCGTAACCTGGGGTCCATGAATAAGACTTCTGAGGGTCTGGGAACTTATTTTAAAAATATTTTCTAGCTCTATTTCAATACAGTTGGCTTCCTTTGTAATCCTCTATGCCCTTAGAATATCACTCTAAGAAGGGGTGGAAAGGCTTCACCTGGTTGCCCAAGTGGTCTATGACACACAGAAAAGCTAAGAACACCTTCCTGCTGATTAGGAAATATAGAGCCAGAAGGGACTCATTCATTCATTCAACAATGATTTATTAAAGGTTTACTATGTAAGAGCATTCTGCTAAGCGTTTCCTTCCATTGACCTGTATTCTATGGGAAAGGTAAGATAGAGGCCTAAGTCAGGTCTCTAGTAGGATGATAATGGAAATCAGGGGCCATCTCCAGTTGTCCTGATCTATATCTTGCCACTGGACCCAGATGGCTCCGGAGGAGAAAGTAAGGCTGGTGACTGTACAGCCCTCCCTCACTTAACTCTGATTCATTTGCAAATTATGACATCATCTTCCCCCGCTGTCTTGGTCCTCTTTGAGAAGGAAGGACAAATCACAACGACAATGTGCCAGGTTCTATGAGAGCTATAGAAGTCTGGCCTCTGCCCTCAATGCTTTAGCTAGGGAGCCAGGATCATAGGATCCCTCCTTGAACACCACTCTTCTACATACAGTCTTCCCATATTAGAATTAGATTGTAAGCTCTCTGAGGGCAGGCTTCTCTTGCTTTTTGTATCTGTATGTCCTGCACTTACCACAGTGCATTAAACATAGGCATTGCTTAGCAAAGACTTTTTCATTCATTTATTAGAGATTTAAGGCTACAAGGCATCGTACAGGTCATCTGATCTAACTCCCTCATTTTATAGATGAAAGAACTGAGTCCCAGAGAAGTGATTTTCCCAAGGTCACATAGGTAGTGAGTAACTCTGGCTCCAAACCAAGCACTTTTTCCACTGTACTACACACACATCCATTTGTGGACACGGGTGAATGAAAGTCACAGTGTGATTTCAGGTAGGACTGTGAAATCTATCTCTTCCTAACATCAAATAATAATTGTGGTTATTGTGCAGTCATGTCTAACTCTTCGCTACCCCATTTAGGGTTTTCTTGGCAGAGATATTGGAGTGGTTTGCCATTTCTTCTCCAGCTCATTTTACACAGGAAGAAACTGAGGCAAACAGGGTTAAATGACTTGCCCAGGGTCACACAGCTAGTAAGTGTCTGAGGCCAGATTTGAACTCAGGAAGATGAGTCTTCCTGACTGCAAGCCCAGCACCTATGCACAATGGCACCACCTACCTTCCCAGATAGTAATTGCCAAGTGATAAAGAATGAATGCTCCCTGAGGGCAGGTACCTTCAGTGCTTAGCACAGCACCAGGCACATAATAAGTACTTAATAAATACTTGTTAAATGATTGACAAGAACTAGGACAGCTCCCTGACTACACTAGCTGCCCAGGTACAGCTCCTGTCTTCCTTGTCCTAAAGAAATCAACAGAGCCCACACAAGCTGCTAGGAAGCACCATCCTGGCCTAAGGGTCCAGGAGAAACTTGAGCTCTCCTTTCCATGGCTTAGCTAGTCTGGGGACCTTGCCCCAGAGGTCTTTTAAGAGAGTCCTTTCTGGCTAGTGTAAAATGTCATAAGCACCAGGATGAAGCACATGGACATGGCCTGGGAGGGTCCAGGCAGGCAGGGTGGGACAGAGAGGTGGGGCAACATTTGGTTGAACTCTTTCCCTGTGCTCCCATGTGAAGGAGGGAGCAGGAGGGCTGGCTGATAAACTGCTTGGCAATCTCTTCTGGGTCACTCTTATAATCAACATATGGGGTATCTCAAATTCTACAGATATGAAACAGAACTCATTATTCCTACCTCATTCCCCTAAAAACAAACAAACAAACAAAAAAAAAAAAAACCACACCAAACCATTCCTTCTAACTTTGACATCTTTGTGGTATCAGCAGCCTTCTGGTCACCAGCTTTAAAACCTCAGGTATCACTGATTTTTCATTCTATCTCAACTCTCCTAGCCGATCAGTTCCCGATTCTTGTTGATCCTCCCTCCCCAATGCATCTTGCCTACGTCCCCTTTACTCACACAGTCCTCATCACCTTTCATCTGGACCCTTGTAATAGCCTCCTCATTGTTTTCCTTGTTATCAGTCTTGCCTCCTCCAATCTACCATCTACATGATTGCCAAAGAGATATACTTAGAGCCCTGGGTTGACCATGTCACTCTCTTCCTCAAGAAGATTTAGCGGCTGCCTATTGCCTCTAGGAGAAAATATCAATGTACCTATTTGGCTTTCAAGGCCCTTCATGATCTGGTTCCTACCATCTTTCCAGACTCGTCTTACTTTATTCCTCCTTATTTACTCTATATTCTGGCCAAGCTGGCCCACTGCTGCTCTTCCCATGCGTGTCTTTCTTCTGTCTTTTGTTTTGGTGAGATGCTCTCCCTCCTTAACTGCTTTTGGGAATGTCCAGCCTGCTTCTAGGCTCAGTTCAGGTGCCTTAAAGCCCCTATAGAAGGGCTTTCCTAATCTTCCTTGTCTCCTTGTTTGTGCTTCCCCTTCTCCAAATTAGTTTGCATGTAAAGGTGGGGGGGAGTAGCCAATGGAGGGGCAGTGGCCTCGAGGCCACATGTGGCCCTCTAGATCCTCAAGTGTGGCCCTTTAACGGAATCCAAACGACGCTGCAAGTTCCCCACCCCTGGAAATCCCATAGTGAAATGGATTTCCTCTGCATTTCCATATGGGGGTGTATTTTGTTTCTCTCAGCCTGAAAATACAGTTTCTCCCTGCTCTCTAAGAACAGAGATTGGGTCATTTTTGGATTTGTACCCTCAGCACTCAGCAGCACAGTGTTGGGCACAAAATATGGGCTTAAGAAATGCTTTCTGAATTAAATGGAATTGAATTCTCTGCTCAGGCCCCAACCTTTTCCTTTTGATATGGGTCCAAACAATAGCCCCATAAACTCACCTTCCATGGACATTTTTTCTCTTAGCTTCTGCTCCAGCCTGCTTTGGTGGTCTTCCAATTCTAATTCTTGAGCCCTGAGCATCACAAAATAGGAAAAGATGATAAATATTAGTGATTATAATTTTGAATAATCTCAGATTAATACGCAATTACAGTATCTGGTCGTCCTTCTATAGCTGGTGTCTCTGAACTTCCCAAGAGAAAGTTCTGATGCTCCTGAGGTCCCCATCTCCAGTGTGACTAAAAGGATCAGGCCTGTGGTTCTTGTCAGCAGCATAGGTAGAGTGTGCTACACTTGGAATCAGGAAGAACTGGGTTCAAATCATGCCTCTGATGTTTATTAACTTGTGGCCACAGACCTGTCAATCAACCTCTCTGAGCTTTAATTCTGCTTGTGTAAGATCAAGATACTAATATCTGTAGAACTTATAGCTTTGCTGTTTAATAATAATAATTATAGCTTCTTTTGGAATAGTCACGAATCATTGTATTGATCAGAGTAGTTAAGTCTTTCACAATTGACTTTCCTTACAATTGCAGTTACCTTCATCATGTCTTACAGAATAATAATATTCCATCACATTCGTATACCATAACTTGTTCAGCCATTCCCCAATTGATGGGCATCACCCTCAGCTTCCGATTTTTTGATACCACAAAGAGTTGCTCTAAATATTTTTTGTACATATGGGTCCCTTTCCTTTTTCTTTGATTTTTTTGGGTATCAACCTAGTAGTAGAATTTATGGGTTTATAATAATAATAATAATGATGACAATAATAATAATAATAATAATAATAATAATAATTAACAGAAAGTACTTTAAGTTTGCAAAGCCCTTTACATATTATCTCATTGGTCCTCAAAACAGCCACTGACTTAGTTACTATTATCACCCCCATTTTACCCATTACAGGACCAGAGCTAGAAGGAACCTTAGAAGGCATTCAATCCAACTTCCCTCATTTTACAGATAAGGAAAACTGAGGCTGTAAGACATGATGAAGGGGATGGTTTCAGAAAAAACTGGCAAATATGAACTGATGCAAAGTGAAGTGAGCAGAACCAAGAGAATAATCTATATAGTAAAGGCAATGCTAAGGAAAATCAGCTATGAAAGACTTAGCTACTCTGATCAATACAATGATCCATGACTATTCCAAAAGACTCTTGAGGAAAAATGTTTTCCACCTCCAGAGAGAGACCTGATGGAATCAGAATGCAGATTGAAGCATATGTTTTCTCTTTCTTTCTTTTTCGTGTTTTATCTTTTCCTTTTAGACATGGCTAATGTGGTAAATCTGGCCTCAGATACTTACTAGCTACCTGACCCTGGTCATGTCACTTCACCCTGAGCAGAACCAAGAGGACTTTGTACACAATAACAGCCACGTTATGCAATGACTAAGATTGTTTAACTGAACCCTTCTCAGAATTATGAGGATCTAAGACATCTCCAGAGGCCTCGGGATGGAAAATGCTGTGCACATCCAAAGAAAGAACTATGGAAGTTGAATCGCTATCACTTATTTTTACCTTCTGTTGAGTTTTGTTTCATCTTTCTGATGGTTCCTCCTATTGGTTTTGATTTTTACTTACAACTTCACTAATGTGAAAATATGTTTAATGGGTACATAAATGTAAAGCCTATATCAAATTGTGTGCCGTCTTGGGAAGGGTGGAGGGGAGGAAGGGGGAGAAAAATTTTCAACTCAAAAGCATACGGAAGTGATTGTTGATAAATCAAAATAAACTAATAAAAATTTTTTAAAAGTCACCTCACCCTGTTTGCCTCTGTTTCCTCATCTGTAAAATGAACTGGAGAAGGAGATGGCAAACCACTCCATTAACTTTGCCAAGAAAACCCCAAATGGGGTCACAGAGAGTCAGACATGACTGAAATGGCTAAACAACCACAAAGTGGACATATTTTTGGCATGACTTTATATGTATAATGGGTATCTTACTCGTCACCTTCTCAATGGATGGGAGTGGGTAGAGGGAGGGAGAGAATTTGGAACCAAAATAAAAATAAAGCTGAATTTTAAATTTCCTCCACAATCTTCAGTGGCTCTTTGCTACCTTCAGATGAAATAAAGGCCCCTGTTTGACATTTAAAGCTCTGCATAACCTTGCTCCTTCCTCCCCTTCCAGTCTTCTTTATTCTCCTTGTCGCACTTGGGGTTCCTCTCTCCTCCAGCTGTGAGACCTTTCCCTGGCAGTCCCTTAAGCTTGGAATGTTCTACCTCTTCCCTCTACTTCCTTACTTCCCTGGTTTCCTTCACGACTCAGCTTCCGCCTTCTTCAAGAGGCCTCTCCCCAGCTCCCTCTAGCCCCACTCTGGGCATCCCCTGAGGAGCGGAAAGACACTAATTCACGGCCAGTCAGTTCTTGGCACTTCTTGCAGGGGCTCATTCCTTGAGGGAAAAGGTGACATGGAGTTTCCAGAGTTTCTGGTCAACTAAGAAAAGACCAAACCCAATCTTTAAAAGATAAAAGATAAAACAAAAATCACAACAAAAAAAAATCCTATTTATTGAGCCCAGAAAAATGGAACGACCTCATCGAATCATAGATCTAAGAACTGGAAGGGCCATCCAAGGTCCTGCGGTGTAAGCCCCTCATTTTAAGGTTGAGAAAACTGAGGCACAGAGAAGCTGTTACTTATGAAGGCCACACAGTAATGAGTGCCTGTGGTGGGAGTTTTGAAGACAGAGCCTCACATTTGTCCTTCCAAGTATAACAAAACAACTCCTTCACCCCCAGCTCCGTAAAGTGTAAGATATAAAGATAACACCTTATATGATATTTCTCTGCATACGTGTCACATCCTTCTCAGCACATAGCACATTGTCTTCCCAGAATAGGCCCTTGATAAATATTTATTTAATTGCTGGATGATAAAACCTTATTAATTCTAGCTCAGCTCATTCAGAATTTGTAATGGCTAAGCCTGGGCTGGTCTGAGATTTATTAAGAAGAAAAGCTTTGGAGATTTATGGGAATGGAAGGATAAGGGAGGGATCCTTGGAGGGGGGTAGGTTAAGTAATAGTAGGGCAAGGCAGTAGGTAGAAATAAAGTAGAGGAGTTAGGAGAGATAGGAAACAAGAGATACACACAAACATAAATACGAAGATCAGAAGTAGAATTTGTTAGGGAAAGTATATGTCTATATAGGCATGTGTGTGTGTGTGTGTGTGTGTGTGTATATATATATATATATAATATATATATACATATATATATATACATATATATATATACATATATATATATACATATATATGTATATACATATATATATATATATATATACATGTATCTATATATCTGTATGTAAATATATCAGTGCTTAATTGTAGCCTTCTTGGGGAGGGGAGGAAGGGGAAAAAAAGAACAAAGTGAAAAGTTCACAGCAGGAACAAAAGAAAACTAACAAGGAAGAAAAGAAAAGATGGACAGCTCTCAAGACAACATGTAGTAATTATTATGCAGGCTTTCTTGAAATGGAAATTTATTGCTATATATCTTGAATCCTCTCTTATGTTCTGCTGTGCACATGACGTGCTTTTTTTTCTTTTCTTATTTTGTATGTAAGTATATAATATGTTTCTTTTTCTTTTCTTGTGGTGTATTTAAGTTTCAGTAATAAAAAAAGAAGAAAAGCTTTGCTAAATTTGGTAAATAACTTCCCATACAGTCTTCAAAGTGAAGGGATACTGTACCAAGAGAAAAAGAAGAGACTAAAAACCTGTATGCCCTGATGAGAGTAAGCTATAGGGGAGAAGTAGGATGACAGAAGATGAAGATGAAGGAGGAGGAACTTTGGGTTTCACTATCTAAGAGGTGGGTCAGTTTCAAGTAATAGTGAGGTCTCACTAATGAGTAGCCCCTCAGATGGATTATCAAAACATGGAGGTCACACAAGCTCAGACTTTTAGAAGAGGCCTTACGGAGGACTTTTAAATCTACTGAGGAGGGTAGTAGATGACATGGAGAAGTGGGAGGTGCAAACCAAGTGCTGAAGTCATTGGTTAAGGTAGAAGGGGAAGGCAAAGGAGACCGAGGCTAGGGTTAACAGAGTCAAGTTAGCAATAGATGTCCAGTCAAGTCAATAGATGGTCAAGCACAATAGATATCATGAATATCAAAAAAGGTTGTGAAGAGATGAGAGTGGTGGGGTGCAAGAAGCATGGCTACTTCCCTTGCTAGCCCATCCTCTGAGAGCAGTGGTAGAAGAGAATGAGCACTGGAGTGGGTGGTAGTAGGTGTGGGATCCTCAGGAGGAAACCAGGCTTCCATTGGTGCCAAGAGATAGAAAGGAAGATATCAAAAAGGAATATAGAAAGGATATATAAATATAGAAAGGATATACAAATATATATAAAGGATATATAAATATAAGGGATATACAAATATTTATAAAGGATGCATAGATAAATAAAAGAAAGATATCAAAGATGAAGGGAAACTTCTCAATGATGGGGAAGGGGCTTCAAAGGGAAGAGAAGAAATGTGGTGGGCCAAGGGACTAAAGAGGGATATGACTAAGTCATATGGGAATGATAATATGGGGGGAAATAATGGGTAGGGGAAGTAGCTTATGCCTAGGGTGGTGGTATGGAATAAGAGAAACCAAAGGTTGGTGGGGGAAGCCCAAAATCCAGATCATATTTTGATGTTGGTTTGATGGAGTTTTCATAATTCCATCCCTCTGGGCCTCAACTTCCTTATCTATAAATTGAGGGCATTGGACTAGATGACCTCAAGAGTCTTCCAGATTGGACTCTTTGAGCCTATGACTACCCCCTAGGCACATGTGTGCTTTAGAGGTTTAATTGCAGCAGGAAGACTGGCAGGTTTGATGGGGGAGAATTTCTTGTTTCTGGGGAAGGTCTGCTCTCACCCCCACCCCTACCAGGGACCACCCTCAATTGCATGAGTATTCCTTTTATGTGGATCTATGGCAGGGGTTCTTGACCTTTTTTGCATCGTGGGCCACTTTGGAAATCTAGTAACTCCTATAGACTCCTTTTTTTTTCCTTTTCTTTTCCTTTTTTTTTTTGGTGAGGCAATTGAGCTTAAGTGACTTGCCCAGTCATACAGCTAGTAAGTGTTATGTGTCCAGACTCCTCCTTGAAATAATATTTTTAAACACACACAATAAAATACAGATGATTACAAAAGGAACCAATTATATCAAGATACAGTTAGTAAGATATTAAAAGTTCCAAGATCACAGGCCCTCAGGCTAAGAACTCTTCAGTCAGTCAGTCATCAGGCATTTATTAAGCACCAGAGATATAAAAAAGGCAAAAAGAGTGCCAGCCCTCAGGGAGCTCACAGTCTAATGGGGGAGACAGTCAGCAAACAAGTATGTATAGACAAGACATAGATATAGATCAACTGGAGTCAATCCAGAGTGTGAGGGGGAATGCACTGGCATTTAGGAGGACTGGAGAAAGGTATCTTGTAAGAAGGTGGGATTTTAGCTGAGACTTGGAAGAAGCCAGGGAAGCCAAGAGGTAGAGAAGAGAAGGTAGACAATTCCAGAGCACAGGGGACAACCAGAGAAAAGACACAGTTGGAAGACAGAGCCTCTTGTGTGAGTGACAGTAAGGAATCCAGCATCCCCAGATCACAGATTGCACATGGGGGGGGGGGGTAAACTCTAAGAAGAATGGAAAGGTAGGACAGGGCCAGGGTAGGGAGGGCTTTAACAGCCAAACAGAAGTGATATTTGATCCTGAAGGTAATAGGGAGCCACGGGATTTTCTTGAATGAGGGCAGGGGATGATATGATCAGACCTGCACTTTAGGAAGGTCACCTTGGCAGCAGAATGGAGGATGGACAGGAGTGGGGAGAGACTTGGTAGAGAGATCAACTAAAAGCCTCAAAGTGATAAAGGCCTGTACCAGGGTGGCGGCAGTGTCAGAAGAGAGAAGGGGGCACATGTGGATATACGTGTATACGGAAATGTGCATGTGTGTGTGTGTGTGTGTATACACATGTGTGTATATATATATGCATTGTGTGGGCACATGCCGGCAATCACATATGTATCTACAACATGTACATCTGTGTTGTGTTTATTTTTGCACATATATCTCACATAGCACATATATGTCTCATACCTTATATTGTATATACCTCACATATAAATAATATATATAATAAAAAATGTTCTCTCTATCTCTCTCTCTCTCTCTCTGAAGTCCAGACAGTGTGATTGGTTGGTAGAAAGGTAAAAGGAGAGAAGGACGATGAAAGATGACAGCAGAGCAAGGGTCTGCAAGCAGACGTGGGAAGCAAGGAGGTTGCCTAAACCACCATCCCCTTTCTTTTCTGGACGAGGGAGCTAGAACCCAGAGAGGGCCAGAGAGGGGGATGGGACTTGCTCCAGGGTACCCGGCCGTCCAAATTCAGGCCTCCCAACTCCCAGGCCACACTTTCCAGTCTCAGTAGGTGCCATTCAGAGAGCCTGCCTGCTTTTCCATCTCTATAATAACTATGCAGAATCTCTCTCTGCTATAGCCTCGGTGCCGGGAATGGACGACCAGAGAGTCTCCTCACTAATAGGCATATGATATGCAAAGCCTAAAGTGGCAATTTGCCTCAATCAGGGCCGTACAGGCATCAGGAGGGAAAACAGGGGCCCAGAGCGGAGGGGTGGCCGCCCTCCCTCCTCCCCTCAGCCCGCGTAGGCCTCACTGTTGTCTGTGTTTCTTTACTTACATGATCAAGAGCTCAGATTCATATCGCATTAATTTATTCTTCTCCAGAACCAGCTTAAACCATTCATGCAGGAGCCGTGCCTCATCCTGTGCGCCTGAATCTGTTTAAGAAATAAAGCAGAAATGTGTTCTATTGGAGTTCTGTGCCCTGCGATCACACGGCCCTGGGGCCACCTTAACCTGGCCATGTTTGCCTCAATAAACCCATGCTGGGGAGTAGTCGCTGATGCACTGTTTATACCGGGAGCCTGCGGACAGGACAAATAGAGCGCACCTGTGTACCTTCTAGGCCCAAGAGCTCTCTGGCAGTGAAGCACACCTGGAATTTTGGGCACGGAGGATATTGAGGGGTGGGGGTGGCGATGGAGGCCTGCCTTGGGTTCTTTGCGATAAAGAGCCACAGAACCTGACTGGGGGTCTCTCCCATTGCTTCTTACCTGGGATTCCATTCTGGTCAAGCAAGAATTGTCTCTCTGTCTCTCATTTGGAGGCAGTGAACCTGGGATCACCTCCTAGCTCTGCCAATTACTGACCTGTATAGTCTAATCCATTCTAGCACATTCAAGCTACTGCTAGATGGCCGTTGTTATTGATCAGAAGAGGATCAATGACATCGCAACTTGCATGTGTATTGGATTTAAGTGAGGCTTCAAACACTGACCAGCTATGTGACCCTGGGCAAGTCACTTAGCCACTCTGTGACTCAGTTTCCTCATCTGTAAAATGGGGATAATAACAGTAACTCCCTCCCAGGGTGGTGGTGAGGATAAAATGGGATGACATAAATTTAAAAGTGCTGGCTATCCTCATTAGTCCATTTTGACTCTTATTAGCTGATTTTACTTGGTCCTTTATTGTTTCACTTCATCCTCACAACAAGCCTAGGAGGTAGGTGCCGTTGTTATCCCCATTTTACAGATGAGGAAACCAATGCTGAGTGAGTTTAGGTTTCATTGTTACCTTCCTGAAACAATCTGGCAGATCAGTTTAGAAGTACAACCAACCCTCCCAAGCGACCAGAAGCCTTTGGTGCAGTTACAGGGTGGGCAGGTAGCATCAACACCCAAATTCACACTTTATTTTTATTTTTACTTTTTTTCAATTAAGAGTACTTTTTAAATTTTTGTTTTTTTCACTCCCACAAGTTTTTGAGTTCCAAATTTTCACCCCATCTCCCCCCCCCACCCCAAGATGGCATGCATTCTGAATATCCCTTCCCCTAGTCTGTCCTCTCTTCTATCGCTCTCCCCTTCTCTTATCCCCTTCCCCTTCTATTTTCCTGTAGGGCAGGATACACTTCTGTACCCCATTTCCTGTATTTCTTATTTCCCACTAGCATGTGAAAACATTTTTTTTAAACAAATGTTTTTAAAACTTTAGGTTTCAAATTTTCTCTCTTCCTCCCTCTCCACCCACCCTCATTGAAAAGGCAAGCAACTCAATATAGGTCATACGTGTGCAGTTATGCAAAACATGTCCATAATAGACATGTTGTGAAAAACTAACTCTATTTCCCTTAATCCTATCCTGCCCTCCCATTTATTCTATTCTTTCTTTTGACCCTGTCCCTCCTCAGAAGTATTTACTTCTGATTACCCCTTTCCCAATCTGCCCTCCTCTCTATCATCCCCGCTCTCTTGTCCCCTTCTCCCCCTATTTTCCTGTAGGGTAAGACAGATTTCCATACCCAATTGAATGTGTATGTTATTCCCTCCTTAAGCCAAATCCTATGAGAATAAGATTCACTCATTCCCTCTCACCTTCCCCTTTCCCCTCCACTGTAAGAGACTTTTCTTTCTGTTTTTTTGTGAGATAATTTACCCCATTCTACCTCTCCCTTTCTTCTTCTCTGAATAATCCTCTCTCATCCCTTAATTTTATTCTCCAGATATGACCCCTTAATCTTCAACTCACCCTGTGCCCTCTATCTATCTATCTACATATACACATACATTTTTTTCCTCAACTACCCTAATACTGACAAAGGTCTCATGAGTTATAAATATCATCTTTCCATGCAGGAATGTAAACAGTTCAATCTTAATAAGTCTCTTATGATTTCTCTTTCCTGTTTACCTCTTCATGTTCCACTGAGTCCTGTATTTGAAAGTCAAATTTTCTATTCAGCTCTGGTCTTTTCATCAGAATGCTTGAAAGTCCTCTATTTCACTGAATGACCATTTTTTCCCCTGAAGGATTATACTCAGTTTTGCTGGGTAGGTGATTCTTGGTTGTAATCCTATCTCCTTTGCCCTCCGAATATTATATTCCATGCCCTGCGGTCCTTTAATGTAGAAGCTGCTAAATCTTGTGTTATCCTGATTGTGTTTCCACAGTACTTGAATTGTTTCCTTCTGGCAGCTTGTAATATTTTCTCCTTGACCTGGGAACTCTGGAATTTGGCTACAATATTCCTAGGAGTTTTCCTTTGGGGATCTCTTTCAGGAGGAGATCTGTGGATTCTTTCAATTTCTATTTTGCCCTCTGGTTCTAAATATCAGGGCAGTTTTCCTTGATAATTTCTTGAAAGATGATGTCTAGGCTCTTTTTTTGATCATGGCTTTCAGATAGTCCAATAATTTTTAAATTCTCTCTCCTGGATCTATTTTCCAGGTCAGTTGTTTTTCCAATGAGATATTTCACATTGTTTTCTAATTTTTCATTCTTTTGGATTTGTTTACTGTGTCTTGATTTCTCATAAAGTCACTATCTTCCAATTGCTCTATTCTAATTTTTAAGGAAGTATTTTCTTCAGTAATCTTTTGGACTTCCTTTTCCATTTGGCCAATTTTTTTTTTAGGGCATTTTCTCCTCATTGGCTTTTTGGACCTCTTTTGCCATTTGGGTTAGGCTATTTTTTAAGGTGTTATTTTCTTCAGTATTTTTTTGGGTCTCCTTTAGCAAGCTGTTGACTTGTTTTTCATGATTTTCTTGCATCACTCTCATTTCTCTTCCCAGTTTTTCCTCTACTTCCCTTACTTGCTTCTCAAAATCCCTTTTGAGCTCTTCCAAGGCCTGGGACTGATTCATATTTTTCTTGGAGGCTTTGGATGTAGGAGCTTTGACTTTGTTGTCTTCTTCTGGTTGTATATTTTGATCTTCTTTTTCACCAAAGTAAGATAATATAGTCTGACTCTTTTTGCGCTGCTTGCTCATGATCCGCCAATTACTTGAGTTTTAAACTCTTTGTTAAGGTAAGAGTCTGCTTCCAATGTGGAGAATGTACTGTCCCAAGCTTAGGGGGTTTGTACAGCTGTTTTCAGAGATACTTGTAGGGACCTGTAAATTTTCAGTTCTTCCAAGGTGGTAAGATAAGGGGCGAGGTGTTTACTCCTTTCCTGGCCTGTGACCACAAGTATTCCTTTCTGTCCTGTAACTGTGAGGAGGGTTCCTCTCCACAGCCACTACAAGCTCCACCAGCCAGCTCCTCCTCACCCCAGCACTGCCGCCCAGAACTGTGACCCAGATCCAAACACGGGCAAAACAAGAGATTCCTGCCTCAGCACTGGCAAAGAGATCCCTGCAATCCCTCTCTGATCAGCCACTGGATTCCCCCTCAGTCTGTGGGCCGGAAGCTCGGGAAGCAGCTGCCGCCCCCAGGGCTGCGCTCTTGGGGAATGGAGCTGAAACCCCACCTTCCTTCTCAGCACCGACAGAAACAGACTTTTCCCACTGACCTTCTAAGTTGTCTTTGGTATTAGTGGATTGAGGAGTCTGGAAACCTCCACAGCTGCCCATGATGCAGTTCTCTGAGGCCTGCTCCAGGTTCCCTGCGGCCTGCGTGCCCACGCCACGCTGTGCTCCCAGCCCAGTGCGATACACCTTTCTGATCAATCATCCAGGTTGTCTTGGGCTGGAAATTTGTTTCACTCTGTCTTTTTGTGGGTTCTGCTGCTTCAGAATTTGTTTAGAGCCATTTTTTATGAGTATTTGGATGGGTTTGGGGGAGAGCTTAAGCAAATCACTGCTTTCACTCTGCCATCTTGGCTCCGCCCCCCCACATTCACACTTTAAACAGAAGCATCCAGAGAGTTGTATAGATTGAAAAATGAACATGACTAGTGGTACTGAAGTGCTACCCTTGGGCATATTCTTAATAATGATGTCTTGTTTCTTATATTTTCATAGTACTTAGCATTGCAGATTTAGAACTGAAAAGGACCTTAGATGCCACAGAGTTCCCTGCCCCGCAGTTTTACAGATGAAGAAACTGAGGTCCAGAGAGGTTAAGTGACTTGTCCAGTCACCCAGCCAGCAAGTGACAGGAGGCAGGATTCAAACTCATGTCCTCCTGACACGAAGTTTAGTCCAGCACTCAATGTACTCTATCATCTTCAGTATCTCATCATTTTCTATCTCAGTCTCATGCCTTTACACATATCTGTCATGCCTGCCTAGAATGTCCTTCATATACAGTTCATTTCCGTCTCTTTACTTCCCCAGCTGCTAGGTAAGTACTAGCTGCTAGCTGCTCCCCACACTCAACATGGCACCTTGGGCTCCCAGTCTTTCCTTTCTCCTGGAATCTCTATCCTCCTTTAAGGCTCAGCTCAGATGCTATTTCCTCCCAGAGGCCCTCTTCCAAGTTTCTCCCTTTGCACTCTCCCCATCCTCCCAACACTACCTCATCTTCTTCCTCAAAGTACCTTGTATTTCCTTATCTGCGTCCATGTCATACCCACCCAGCAGACTAGAAACTCCTTGAGGGCAGGGGCTGCTTCATTTTTGTCTCTGTGGAGCAGGAAGCCTTAGACAGAGCAGGTGTTTGTTGAATAGAATGCAATAATTTGCCTTTTACCTGATATGCATTTGCTGCATAATTACTCACTGGCCTCTGTTTATCCCCTATGATAATATAAACCAATAGAACTATCTTGTTCCAATTCCTTGCTCATCAGCAGCTTTTTAAATAATTACTCAATCACGTATGATCTATATTAAGGGTGAGGACCTAGAGGGCCACATGTGACCTCAAGGCCGCAGGCTCCCCACCTGTGTTCTATTATATATACCCTTCATCTGGTAATTAATCACATACTATCATTAATCATATACCTCAGTGAATTCTGGAGGATTCTTGGCTGGCAGATATCTCTTTTTA